TCTATCGACTATGACCCATCTCGCATTATGACTTGAATTGGACCTCGGTAATCCTACTACGAAATCTATAATCAGATGTCCTAATTTTTACTTGGGAATGAGGAGTCATTGTAGGAAACCACTAGGTCTCTGATGTTTAACCTTAACATGCTAACACGTGAGGCATTTGGAGACAAAATTGTTGATGTCGCACTTCATACACGGCCACTAGAAATAAAGCCTCATATCTAGATATAGTTTTTCATCGTTAGGGTGAATAACTAACTTGGAGGCATAGGCAACCTTTATGATGTCCAACTTGAGTTTGGGGTCATTGGGCACCCACAAATAGTCTCAAAACCTAAGAATTCTATCATTAGACATTCAAAAATTAGTTTGATCTCCTGGTTCCACTTTTTTCTTTTATTGCTCTTAACTAGGATCTGTGGATTGGGCATCCCTAATTCTCTGAATGAGAGTGGGTTATATCTTAATATGGGCAAGATATACGCTCGCACCATGATGACTCAATCGAAGACCTTGGATTGTTTCCAACATTCTCTATTTTGAAATCATCATTTGTGTTAATAGGGCAAAGTTCTTCCTACTACGAAGTGACTACTTACCGGGTTAGTACAGGATTTTTCAATTTTAATTCTTCAAAAGATCTACCTAACATCTTTGTCTCATGTTGAGTTCCTTCTAGGTGAATAAATGCATCAAACTTTTATGCTCAATGTAGGTTTTAGAAGTTTCACTCTGCAAGTAATGTCGCCAAATCTGAGAGCAAAGATAAATGGCTATTAACCCTAGATCATGAGCAGGATAGTTCTTCTCATGGGTCTTTAACTGTCTTAAACCATAGGCTACCACTCTACCATATTGCATAAACACACATCCTAGACCAAGATACGAGGTATCATTATAAACTTGAAATCCACCAGTACTACTGGGAATAACTAACACTAGAGCAGAGGTTAATCGACACTTGAGTTCAAGAAAACTTTCTTCAGACATTGGGCTCTAAAGAAATTTTTCACTTTTCCTAATAAGTTTAATTAATTGGGCAACGATGTTGGAGAAACCTTTAACAAACTGACAGTAGTTGTGATATCTCCAATGAAATTAAGGCAAAAAGATGGTAGATATAGAAACAGATTATGAGTACATGATAAAATTATATACAACATAGCAAATTATTACAAATTCCTTACTAAAATATAGGAGTTCCAATTACACATATATATAACTGAGGATAGAAGTGGCAATAAAATACAAATATCAAAATACAAAAGCATCACTTCTTTCACTATGGGATTGGACTCATCAGAGTGCGAGACAAATCATGCACTC